GAGAGCTGCAATCCATGAGTTGTTGCTTTGTACAGTTTGCCTCCTTAATTGATTGAACTCTGCTTACATTGAGCATGAGGGTTGATGCTAGGGGAAATTTTCCTGTATCATTTCTTACAAGGGCAGATCTTTGAGTTTGTGTAGTTATTGTAGCTTCTCATTTCCCCCAACCTCCCTTTCTATGTCCCTCGGTTATTATTAATCCAGTTTCTGTCTACATAGATTTACCCATTTTGGAGTTCATATACAGAAAAAAAAACATACAAAACAAAATCAATAAAGAAACCAACAAACAAAAACCCAACAATGACAAAATAAAACAGAGGAAAGCCTTGATCGAGATGAATTATTTCCACATTTAAAGAACATTATCTCTGGGTAAGGTTCAAAGCATGAACAAGTCACTGACCTTGACACTAGCCAAAGGCTCAGAATTTAGTGGACACTGACGCAAATGTATTCCTGGTTATCCATGGATACATAAAGAGCTCGCACTTCCACTGGTCACAAGAGAAGAGGCAAGAGAGCCTGGCAGAGTGGCATGGAGCCTGAGGAAGGCGCTGGCAGGAGGGCTGCAGTTCTGTGCAGCCAGAATGGCACTTTTCCTCCTCCTGGACACCTTAATTGAAGGTATTAATTTGTACCTTTCAGCCAAACACATTGAAATCTAATTGACGGCTCAAGAATAATAGGCATTCATTACATGAGGTTGTTCAGAAGCAAGAGGTAAGGTATACGTGTATGCTTAAAAAAGTTCACTTCCTGGCAAACCTGTGCTGCTTGGGCATCCTGCTTTTATCTGCTTGTTCTCTTAGCAGGAGAGGGCTTCAGACAGTACATGGGAAGATCGGATTTTTCCACAAACTACTTGAAGCTCCCTTGTATGAGTTGTCTATTCCAAGTCATGATAACACCAGGTGTGGATGGTAGGAGTCCTTCATAGAGTTTTCAAGGCTGTGAACTTTAGGAAACGCATTGTCAGACCTCTCTTGTGAGACACTGATGGATGGATTTGAACTACCAATCCTTTTATATAGTAGTGTCACTCAGGGAGAGTGATTGAATTAATAGGAATTTTTTTAATTCTATAAGAAATCTACATACAAGTATCAACATGTGCATGCTTAAGGCATTCTCTTAAATCTGAGCAATCTAAAGAATATTGGCAAATGTAGGAAAAATGCAATCTGTTTAGCATCTTAAATAAAAGGAAGCAAAGCAACAGATACTAATTTTCATTTGTGTTCAAAATTAGTCTAGAAATTTGGATCTCTGCTTCCATCACGATGCTATTTGGCAATGGCAATATCATGTTCACTGCATCTAATTTCAATTATCTTCAAACTTGCACATCTCGTGATTTCTTGGAAGAGCTAAAGTGTATCTCAAACGATGCCAGTGATTGCTTACAGAACTTGATTTCATAATTTTATAATCATTGCATTGCCAATAGTACATTATGGGACATTACAGGGTACTAAACACTCTAAGGCATATGAAACCAATATTAGTTTCCAAAAATAACAGATTTTATAAAATTAAGGAGAGTTTTTATTTATTTGTTTTAGTAAGGGAGTCAGTGTAAAATTTAATGAGTTACTTAGTAAATTTTCCTAATCACAAAAATGTTTATAAAAGCAAATGAAAATGTGACTTACATAAGTTTTAGATGCCCTCCAGACCGGTCTCACAGAGCTCTGGGGCATGGTGGGTTACATGCTGGACTCCTTGCCGCAAGGTCAGCAGTTCCGGCCCAGCGGCTGCTCAGTAGTGGAAAGATGGGGCTGTCTGCTTGCATAAACATTCACAGCCCTGGAAACTCAAAGGGGGCAGTTCAACTACGCACTGTAGGGCCCTCGTGGGTTGGAATCCACCTCATGGCAGTGAGTTTGCTATTTGTTTGGTGTAGACCAGGCCTAGAGGTCTTGGAACGTGCTAAGTGCTCAAATATATTTATCTACTCGGTGAAGCAAATGTCTGAGAGACTAGACAAGACTTTTCAAATAGTTTATTAACAGAGGGAAAAATAATTAACAGGCGTATGTTTTCCTTACAACTCAGTTGAAAATATTACTTTTATATCTTTCAGTTAAACAGACTTGAATTTAATTGATACCACTAGAATAGAATGTATTCATTTTTATATGTTACAAATTTAGAAAATGAGATAATTTAGATAGGTTTGAAGAGGAAGCTTACTTTTACTTTATTTATATTACCAAAAAATATTCTAAGGAAGAGAAGAATGTAAGCAAGTTTGCTAAATTGTTTTATCTGTGAGAGAATGCAGGTCCCCCGCCCCCCAAGCCCGGCCACCATCTACTCCCAACATTTGTTGATTGCTCATTATATAGGAGTACTCGTTTTTCATGGCTGCTGTAACAAACTATTACAAGTTTGATGGCTTAAAGCAATGCAAATTTATTCTTTGACTTTTAGAAATCTTGCATGAGTCTTACGTCTTGTGTGGGCCTAAAACCAAGCTGTGTTCTTTACTGGAGACTTGAGGAGAGGATCTGTTCTCTTGTCTTTTCCTGCTTCAAGAAACCATCGATTTTTCTTGGTTGTGACTCCATTTATTTTTCTTCTAAGTCATAAATATTGCATATCTTTGATTATTTTTCTGGCTATATTCTCCTACTTTAGTCAGGGAAAGTTGTCACTATAAAATTTTATAGGGCTAGATTGAGCTATTCAGATAGAATAATCTCTCCATCTCAAGGTTCTTATTTTATTCAAATTTACAAATTTCCTTCTTCCATGAAAAGGAATATACTGATAGGCCCCAGGGATAAGATGTGACCAGGGATGAGATGTGAGATCTTTGGGAGTTATTATTCTGCTTAATACAATTGGAGACCATATTCGGTTCTCAGAACTGTCGGCTAGACACAAAAAATATTTATGTAGGTATATTTAAGTATACTTGCAGTAGAATAGTGTGCATTTATTAATGAAGGAAGTGATTATTCACTAACTTTAAATAAAAGACTTTCTTAGACCATTTGGTATGTGTTTTTATTAAGTAAAATTTTAAAATAATTTTAAGATTATTTTTTACTACCAATAATTCCACAGTTTTTCACAAATCTATGTATTTTATGTAATTATAACAATATAACTTTATATGCATTACACTATTTTATTATTTTTAGCTTAACTCTTAAATACTGTGATATTAATAGGTCATATTGTATTAAGCTTTACTCCTAATGTTAGAGCTTTATGCATCTAGAGTTTCTTACTAATAGGAAATGCTTCTCTGAGTAATCACTTGTTTCTACAGTCTTTTAAAAAATTAAAATTCTTTGGAATGAAGTCCTATGAAAGAAATTACAGAGTCAAAATAGGTGGTTCTCTACTTGTTCCGTGCCCATTGTCCTCCTTTCCTTCATTTGTGGAACCACCATTTTGCCCCGTAATTAGGTGATAATTTGGCCAATGGATGTGCATCAAACCCAGGAAGTGAATTAGTTTAATGTGTTCAACCTGGAAATTCCTGACTCTTGACAGAGATTGTATTAAAAATAGCCCGATGCTATCCTTCAATAAGCTGAAGTGGGGGAAAGTATCAGAGCCTAAATTGTGAGATTCTGGTTTGCAGAAGGCTGTGGATGCCAGAGGGAGCCCAGGATACCTCCGTGAGATCGACACAGGAAATGAGCCGCCAGGGTTTCCCTCTGTCCTTAACAGCAGGGTGGGAAGAACCTGCTTCCTAAACGAAGTGCATTCAGAGACGAAGGTCAAAATGAGAAACCTGACCTGGACGGTTAAAGCCGTGTCCCTGGATCCTGTCTTTTTTATTCTTTTTCATATTGCGGTGTATCGTGATGTGTTTTGTCCTTGGAGGTAGCCCTCTTGAGTTTTTGTTATGTTTTTCTGCATATGAAACCCAGGATTGATGAACCCGTAAGGGCTCCTGGGGGGTGCAGTGGGCGGAGGGGGAACTAAGGGGAGCCGATATCAAGGAGTTCAAGAAGAAAGACAATGTGTTGAAACGGATTGTAGTAGCAATTGTACAATACTTGTACAATTGTACATGATGGCTTTGAACTATGGAATGATATGATATCTGTAATAGCTCCCAATAAAATGGTTTTGGAAAAAAAAAAAGATTGAAAGGGGGATAAAATGGAGGCAGGTCACAGTCCACATACAAGTAACCTGATCAGCGCTTCAATGTAATCTTCCCGATCTCTCTGACCACTAACTTGTCAGCCTTCTTACCTGTTATGCAGCCATACTTTTAAAGTGAAATTGGGATTCTGTAAGCAGAACTGGCGGTGCCAGAAGTGCTGCCACCTGCGCTCTGTGTTCTTGCTGCCCTGCACCGGAACGCCTAGTCAGCCAAAAAGGCAGTGCAATAGGAAAAGAGGCAGACCGGGGGATCAGGGGTGGGTGGGGGGATTAAAAGAATGAATATCTTCTGACATCAAGCTAATATATCAAATTACTTTTGGGGGGGAGGGGCTGAAGTGTTGACTCTCATTTGGATCTCTCAGTGCACTGGTGCTTTTCTGAAGCAGGACAGACCGGCTTTGGCTAATTTTGAGATGTGTCGTTTTCAGGCCTCTTAAATTCCACAGAGCCTGAGAACGCGGGCTATTTAGCTACAGCAGAATAACAGCAAAACAAAACAAAAAAATGTGGGAAAATCTGTAAGAATGCCTTGTATAAGCCAGGGCTTAGCTTTATGACTAGGAGCCCTGGTGGACCAGTGGTTAAAGCGCTCCATTCGGAACCAAGGTGCCGGTTTCTGTGAGGATACCTCCGTGCACACGTCAGGGGCCAGGTAAGTTCTGTGCTTCCGAGTTGCTCCAATCCAAAATCAACTCAACGACAGCGTCTTGGGGGGAATTCTGTGAGGATAGTATGACTTGAATGAATCGTTTTGCTCTTTAGCTCAGTTTACCGAATGCTAACTAGCGTTTGTGTGAAAGATCGTGTAATTGACATGCATGACTTTATCAATTTTGAACGATTATTTATCTCTTTCTCAGATAATGATGTTGAAAATGACCTTCAATCAGACTTCAGTTGAGCACTGCAAGAGTCAAACCGAAAAGCAGAGCGAATGCAATTTCTTCTTAATAGCGGTTCGCCTGGCGTCCCTGAACCAGATCCTGGATCCCTGGGTTTACCTGCTGCTAAGAAAGATCCTGCTTCGAAAGTTTTGCCAGGTAGCCAATGCCGTCTCCAGCTGCTCTAATGATGGACAGAAAGGGCAACCTATCTCACTATCCAATGAGATAATACATGCAAGCGCATGAAAGAGAATATGTAACCTGCTTTGAGTGTTCCCAGAATCAGGCAACAAGGAGCCCTAGACTTTACTGTGCATGTAAGCATCAATAGCATGCCTCTGTTTATGCATCCGAGGGGGATGTTTGATATAAGAATAAATGGTCTCAAAAGAATAGAGAATCCCCTATGTGCCCAAAATATCAAAACACAAAGGAAAATATATTCATCACAATCTAATGCCTTGGGGGTCTCCGTCAAGTTTAGCAGAAAATATAATTATGTGATGAGCACTTTCTTATTTAAATAAATGATCTTGGCCTATTTGGGAGTGAAGTAGGCATAACTAATATTCTGGTATACCGAATATAAGAGGATTTAACCATGCATATCTTTAAAGACAAAGGCATAACGTTTTTAGTTCAGAGACTTTGGTCTTCTGTGTTCTCTCAGTCTCTCTCACTTTTGAGCTGTGCCATGTTCCCCCTCACATGTTAAAAGGTTAAATTGGAATGGAAGCCAATTTATTATGTATTCTTTTGGATCTTTAAAGGTTAACTCTGATTCTAGAGCCCACAAATATTTTCAAAGGTTTAAAAAAGGCTTTCCATAGTTTAGCATTTTTATTCAAAACCAAAACCAAATCTACTGCGGTGAAATCAATTTCAACCCTCAGCGACCCTCTGGCGCAGAGTTGGACCGCCCTGGATGATTTCCAAGACTGTGGTTTCTCCAGAAGCAGACTGCCACCCGGAGTGGTTGGTGGGTTCAATGACCAGCCTTGAGGTTAGCATCAGGTTGCTTACCCACTGTGCCCCCTGGACTCCTTGACCCTGCTTATAGAATAAGAACTCTAATAATATTGACCTTCTCATAGTTCTTCCTCTGTGTTCTCCTCAAAATAGCACTACCTAACTACTTATGATGACTAACCTTGATAGCTAAGCATGGCACCTTTGTAACACTACACTGAGATTTGGGGCTTGCGCTTTAAACAAAGTTCCTTTAAGTTCTAAGAAACTCACTGTCATCAAGTCGATGCCAACTTTTCCCGACCCTTCAAGGCACAGTAGAACTGTGCCCGTGGTTTTCCCGGCAGTAAATCTTTACAGGAGTAGAAAGTCTCCTTTCTCCTGCAGAGTACTGGTGGGTTTGAACTGCTAACCTTGTAGTTAGTAGCTCAACACATAACCTACTATGCTACCAGGGACCTACTCAAAATGCTCTTCATATCCTTTGGTATATTCATTTGCTAAAATACCCTAAAGTCTTATTGAGAAGATTTCCATTTGTAATTTATTTTATTGCTTTCCTTGTGTGTGTTTTGAATTTTCAAATTTTGTACATTTTGTTATAACAACTGTGCTTCTTTCCTTGTGTTTAGTGGGTATTTAAGGAAAATGAATTATAGTAGCTACACTATATCCATTATATTAATGCATACACCTGAACCCAAACCAAACCAATTGCTATCGAGTCAATTCCGATTCATCGCAACTCCATAAAAAGGTTTCCAATGCTTTGTAAATCTTTATAGGAACAACTGCCTCCTCTTCCCTTGTGGAGAGGTTGGTGAGTTCGAACCACTAACCTTGGAGTTAACAGTCCAACATTTATCCTATAGTGCCACCAGGCCTCCTTAATATATACATCTGCATAGGCAAATTAGAAATAATCAATTTATTTCACACATTAAACTGAATGAGAAGACAAGGGCTGCTGAGAGTTCTTATGGAATTTAGGGTGGTTCCAATGGTCTAAATTTGGGGAAAGATGATAAATCATCTGGAATGATACCCCATTATAAAATCTTTGTCCCCTCACATTGGATTCTTCCACAGAGCACCTTATGGGATCTGAGGCAAACTACCTGATAATCGCCCTTTTTCACTTTGTAGGCCACACAATGTATGTGAGTTATGTCTATCACTTTCAGAAAGCAAAGAAAAGCACCTATGTGACCGAACAATACTTGCCTTTACCTGTTGGGTGGCCTTCTGACCTTGAATTATAATCAGATGAATGCACACATCAAGTTTGGTGTGGTGTGCATCTGGAAAATGTGAATGGGTTTGGATTATTCCTTCTAGCGTCTAGTGCAACAACTTGACTACAGAAAGTACTTGATAGATGTTTGCTCAGTGTATGAATGACCAACTGTCTCCCAGGATGGATTGTGCCTTGGTGATACTTGTGCCATGCCGTTGAAGTGCTTGCACCCTTCAAGTCCATCAAACTGATAACGTGAATGATCTATGCTTACGTAATTACAATTTATCCTCAAATGGGTAGCATCATACTGCCGGACAAAAATGCTTTGTTTGCATTAATAATTCAGGGGACTGTTATTTCAAAACCATAATGGCGATTACTGACAAAGAAGATCACTTTTCATCAAACCACAGAGATACAAAAAGACAAAAGAGCATCTGACTTATCCATAACTACAAAAGAAACTCCTGCCCAGGAGATCCATGGTAGGAGTTTTAAAATATTGGCAGTGCTTAAACAAGTTTGAAAAGAAGGCGGAAAAGAAAGCAATTATGCAAATGGTCCTTGTGTGTTACAATCAAGTCACCTGTTAGTGCAGGGAAAACATACTAAGAAGTAAAAATCCCAAATGATTCCAGCCTTTGGATAATAGCTCACACTAGACTTTAAAGGTGTGTAAAGGCCTTAGAGAGGGCTACAGAGTGGGCCTCTACCAGCCCTGCACCAGGGCATGTCTGTTTTCAAGTTCAAGTCTATGGGCTTTTAAGTTAGCTCTCACAAATGTCATTTATTTATGCATATATCTGAACAGTACATGCATAGATTATGAAAATTCCTATAATTTGCTGTATTGGTTTAAAATACAAACAAAAAATGCTGAGAGACCTAGTGAAAGAAGTGGGCATGTGCAGCATAGGAATATGTGAAAAATATACTTAAAATCAGCCAGCATTGACTTTGCAAAACAGCCCTGCTTCTCCAAACAGTGAATGCACGTGGCTCTGCTGTGTCACAGAAGAGAATGATGTGCTTCATGCTCTCCAACCAGAATAATGAACTTTTCAAATGAAAGATCAATAGTGGAAGTCTCAAATATATAATTTGGGTTAAAGAAACAAAATACATTATCTCAAGCATTATCAAATACCTAATACTATATGTAAAAGTATTCTAAGCGAATGTGATTAAGCATGCCACATCTAAACAACCATCAAGTAAAAATATGTGCATCTATTTCTACTGAACATTTATTCATTATATAAAATATATAATGAAAAAAAATTGTGAAAGCTTGTGAAAAGAAACTTGAAAAGACCTTGTGACTATACTGGAATAGAATAATAGGTGAACCAAAAATTCCAAAAAACAATATTGTAATCGGGTGGTCTTTCAGTGGCAGTATTTTAATCTCAAATTTTCAAGACAAATTTGGCCTTTTACTGATTTCGTGTGTTTTATGTTTCAGTTGCTCTTTTTTTATGTATTCTAATTTGGTGATCAGCTTTCAATCAATTCCACACACATGTGGATAGTTTATTAGATTGGGATTAAATCAGAGACAGAAAAGAGGGGAGACATTTTTGAAGCTTTTCAACACATTTGTTATTTATTTTTCCATTTCCCAGAAGCTTCTTTGAAATGTGCAAGCTAATAGGAGCTGAGTGACCAAGAGCTATTGTAGGATATTGGTATGAATAGCACATACAAAACTTAATCAGAATAAAGAAAACAGCTATATTTTGTTTATAGGAAAGTTTTAGGCTATCAGTTCTCCCAGATTGTCACAGCTGCTTTTTTATTGCTTGTTTGTAATTATAACATTGAGGTCTAAATAAATGGTATGGAATTTTACAATGAATTAGGCTATACAATTTTAAATGGAGAATTTTAATACTGTAGCTAAAGCCATAGAACTATTTTTGCTGTTGCTGTTATAATAAAATACAGATAAGAGGTGATATGCCTGTGATGTTTCTAACACAGGTTTTGATAGAGCCAATTTACAACCTAAAACCCACAGACACATTTGTTCAAAAGTGGACATAAGTACATTAGTCTAAGGAAATTCACAAAGATTTCATACTAAGTATGGAGCAGAAAATTAGGAGAAAATTTTGAATTTAAACATAAAGTTTACCTAAAGTTTATATTTAGCTATATTATCCTCATTACATGGGGTCAATTTTGTGATTAGATGATTTCTACTCATCTGGTTAATACATAGAAGCATCTCGGCATCTTCATTGAATGCGTTTGCTAATGATCTTGAATAGAACTGAAAAAAGTGAGGAAAAAATGTGGCCCAGGGTGATTTTATTTCCAAAATGAAAAAAAAGAAAAAGACAAAAACTACAGGCATCGACGACAGAAACTATAGGCATCTAAGACAATTTGAAAAGTCTATACTTTTCTCACAAAAAGGGTCAGTGATCCATTTTTGGAGAAAGATACTAAATTTAGAACTTGAACTCAAATCAGATGAGACAATATTTCCAAAACATTTGATTAAACATTTCCTTTCTCACATGAGCCTATTCTCCACTTGCTTTATAATTCTATATAAAGGCAGATCATTTATACAGGTTTAGTTTATTAATTTTGATGTCATAAACACATTAAGAAAGTAGCTAGAAATATAACTTTAACTGATACATCAATCTCCTTTATATGTTACTCCATTTGTTTATTGCAAATGAACACATTTTCTTTCTTTAGATGAAAATTGTTATATTTTCTGAAAATGTGCCCCAATCTGTTTCATATAATGAACAACTCAAATGGCTATTTGTTGTATTTGCTTTGTTATGAATGAGAATATTCCACTCAAATCTCCTTACCCCAGCTTAGTTAGCTAATCTCCCACAAGGCAAACGTGTCAGGAACATTTCTTTGTGATGAATCTGAGATTGTTTTTATTAAGAGAGAGCAATACTGGATATTTTCAGTTTTTGTGAAAATCAGAGCCATAATATTTATCAGGGGGAAATTGTATGCAACTTACTGAGACATTTCAGTTTTGTTTCTTCTTTTGAAAGAGTGCTTTTGTGTGATAGGTATAGGGGAGAAAGATATAGAGAAAAAGCACTATATTTCCAAGCTATGAAAATTAATCTTTTTAGGTCATACCACAGAAACAAAGACTGTGGTACCATATTTATTCTTGTCCACTGGAGAATCAGGACACGGTGCGGATCAGCCTGTGCTCCTAGCTGGCTGCTGAACTCTCCTTCACATCCAAAAATCAATTCCAGGTCATGGCAACTCCCGGGGGCAGACTGGAATTGCTCCCTCGGATTTTCAATATTGTTACCTTACCTTTTAGAAGCAGACCATCAGACCTGTCTCCGGAGGCATCACACAGTGGGTTCAATCCACCAGTCATTCAGTTAGTACTCCAGCATTAAATCATTTATATCTATCTGTCTATTTATCTCTCTCTCTCTCTCCTATCTATCTATAATCAAGCTATCCATCTACCTACTTACCTATCTACCTATGTATATATATGTATATGCATATGTATATGTGCAAAGAAAAAGATATATATTTTGTCCTCTCTTATTTTACCAAATGTTTTACACAAATAACACAAGATTTAACTTAAGAAAACAAACTGAAACTAGGCAGTGATTAGCTGATCTGTTTATAATAAATGATTATATATGCTACTATTTGCATGGTTTGTCCAAATAAGAACTGAAATCATAGGTTTCTTGATCAGTGGGAAATTCAGCAGACACGGTGTATGTTTCTCCACCTTTCTTCCTCAGCCTCCCATTCCTGCCCACTTTATTAAATGACAGAATAGCTTTTGCTACCACTATATGAAGTTTTTTGGGAAAAGCTATCCTAAATATATTGAAATGTATCTTCCAGTGCTTTTAAAGGCTGATCTTAAGTATTGGGGAGACAGAGTATAAAAGAGACTATGAAAAGGACATCAGGGTTTTGATGGCATACAAATCATAGCTAGTCTGTATGTAATAAATGTATGTTATTTATGTGGTGTATGTAAATGAAAAATAAAATTGAATGTTCTGAAGAGTCCCTTTTTTTTTACTGTCTTTTTTTACTGATGCCAATTCATGTCAGGAATA